CCACCTTTCGAAAGAGCTCGGGTTATAGGGATTTTATTTATTATTAACATATAAATAAGACACACGTGCTAGACTGTGGGCTATCCTCTTACTTTGGGACTGTTGATGACAGTAGTAGTAATCCAAGTTTGACTATTGATGGCTAGTGACTTTCCTCCTGTCTATAAGCTCAAAATTAAAAATGGCTAGCAGAGGTAGCCTTTGTATATTTTACCGAATATATGATACAAATAAACAAACAAACTAATTTATATATATATATACTTCTCAATGAAATCTAACTAAATCGATTACTTACTACATATATATAGTAAGTGATTAAGTTAGTTAAATTTTATTTTTCCAAGACAGGTTCCTAAAACGTCTGAAATTTTCACAATACCGATGTATAAGAGTACAGAAGTTAAATGTACCTTGTTTGTAATTAAGCACAAAGCTACACAATGGGCTGTATCGAAACCCGGCATCTAGAGTTGTAAGTCCACAGACATGCTGTTGTGCCAATGGGGGTGGCGGTATCATATGACAGCGACATTAATTATAATTAAACATAAGTTTTAGAAAACATTTTTGTAGACTCGTGATTAACATGTTCTCTCTATAAACAAATATAAACATGATTGTAATTATATTATTTATACAGACATTCTTCTTTCCGTTTATGCTTTGATATATAAATACTTATAGCGTTTAATATCTTAATGCATAACACGTTTTTATATTGGTTTAAAAATCGTTAGTCGTACTTAATGAAAAAAGTGTTGTACATGATGTTCGCAAAATTTAGAATTTAATGAAAGACACTAAGTGACTATTTGAGAGAATGTTTAACTGGTCGACGTCCTTATGTCTGTGAACTAGGAAGTTTTATATCTTATACCGATATTCTATATCTCTTAAACTCTTAAATAATTTAAGTATTATTATATTCAATCCTCATTGGTGTTAAAAATAAATATATTTTTTCTCCTTGTTTCAGAATCATGCTTACAGTTATCCGTCAAACCACACTTACTTGGCTACTCATAAGTATCCTAGCAATTGGCGAACTGTTGAACGCCGAAAAAGAAACCAAAGATACATCGTTTAACCCTACAGACAGCTTAGGATTTTCATTTGAAGTGCAGTCAAACAAAAGCTCACAGCAAGAGAAAAACTTTGATTTTGAGAAAAGATTCGATGGTCGTTTCTCTTTTGGTCTTGGCAAAAGAAATGATACTAACGAATTAAGTACTTTGAATAGATTTAAAAGAAAAAAGCACCAGTTGAGTTCTAAGCCAGGTAATATCGTGAATAGTCGTTTTGCTTTTGGACTGGGAAAGAGAAATTCACCAAATAATCCAACTGTTGAATATTCTACTTTTGTGGATAAAATGCAACATTCTCATCAATTCATCTTTGGCAAACGGCTAAACGATCGCCTCACTTTTGACGTGGAAAAAAAGTCAACACCAACAGATACAATAAGTGACAATTCTGTTACTGATAAAGATAAAAGATACTCCCACCAACTCATATTAGGCAAACAGCCAGAGACTCGTTTCACCTTTGGCATAGACAAGAGATCCACAAAGCTTGACCTAATTGTGGGCAAAGACAAAAAACATTCTCACCAATTCAATTTCGGATTAGGCAAACGAGCAGAAGACCGTTTTCACTTTGATTTGGATAGGAAACCCTTAATGAATATTGATTATTCTTCCCCAAATGAAGACAAAAGAAAATTTCGACCATTCAGCTTCGGTTTAGGCAAACGACCAGATAATCGATTTGCTTTTGGTTTGGGCAAGAAATCCCTATTTAATAATCTCACTCTTGCCGATCCTTATTTTGAACAAGACAAAAGGAATTCTCACCAATTCAGCTTCGGTTTAAGCAAACGACCAGATAATCGATTTGCTTTTGGTTTGGGTAGGAAATCCCTACTGAATAATTCCACTCTTGCCGACCCTTATTTTGAAAAGGATAAAAGGAATTCTCACCAATTCAGCTTTGGATTAGGCAAACGACCAGATAATCGATTTGGTTTTGGTTTGGGTAAGAAATCCCTACTGAATAATCTCACTGTTGTCGACCCTTATTTTGATCAGGACAAAAGGAATTCTCACCAATTCAGTTTCGGTTTAGGCAAACGCCCAGATAATCGATTTGTTTTTGGTCTGGGTAAGAAATCCTTATTGAATAAACCCACTGTTTCTGATTCTTCATTGAAGGAAGACAAAAGATTTCACCCTCAGTTCAGTTTTGGCCTTGGTAAAAGAATAGATAATTCTCTTTCTTTAAATCTGGGCAAGAAAGATTCAAAAGAGAAATTGACCACATCTTCAATGACATCAAAACGAATCAAAAGAAAGACTCGTCCATTCAATTTTGGCCTCGGGAAGCGACTAGAAAACAGATTTGGCTTTGGGCTTGGAAACAGGAACTCTTTAAACCCTTTAAACTATGCTTTTGGATTAGGAAATGGAATACCACTTATTAGTGATTCGCTCTATCTGCAAGATTTGAATGAACTTATGAAACGTCTGCATCTTAATGATAGAAACAGTCTTTCCCATACAGAGAAAGAAAGGGAATGAAAGGTTTTCACCATTTGCTCGCCTTTCAGTTTGCTTAAGATCAAGAGCGTCTCCAAGAATACTGCAAGTAAAACAGTCTGCTATGGATAAAAGGAAATTATTTGTGGTTGAAAAAACCGACTATGTTGAAATATATATATATATATTATATCGACATAATGATATATATATATATAATGATATATATATATATAATGATATATATATATATATAATGATATCTATATAATTAGCATAAATTATGTGCGGAATAATTCAAAATATTCCTTTTGTTTTTCAAAAACTTATGGATTCGTAAAAACTAATTTCAGTCAAATATGAGTTAACAATAAAAACAAAGCTTTGTATTGTGTATTAACAAAACTTCGCTATTTCACAATTTTATATATATAGTACAACATTTTATATATATGTCCAATTATTGTTTGTAAATATTAATTGTACTACATGTAAAGGATAAATTAAATATCGCTTTATTATCGGCATATTAGAAAATACTTGTGTTTGAACATGATATAAATATCAACCAGTTGTCCTCGAACATATGATAAGCAGTAAAAACTATCCTTTATAAGGATTTTAATCAGTTGGTGAATTTTTCAAGTCAATTCTGGCTATCTGCAAGAACCTAAATAAATATTTCAAACAATATTCAACATTCAAGCTTTAACACATGACGCCCCCCAGTAGCACAGCGGTATGTCTGGGGACTTACAACGCTAGAAACCAGGTTTCGATATCCGTGGTGGACAGAGCACAGATAGCCCATTGTGTTGCTTTGTGCTTAACTTCAAACAAACTAACACATGATAAAATATTGTTCCATTATAAATTACAATAAAATGACATACTTATTTTAATGTTGAACTACAGAGAACTTAAATATATTAAATTATTTTATTATCTCATTCTTTCACGTTTCTTATTCTTTTTTGTAAACTTTATGTCTCAAAGGAATAGCGCCATAATTGCTATAATGTTAGGCTAATTATGTTTCCAAAAATTACACTCGCAACAAAAAATTGGGCCATTTTGATACCAGAAACAAAACAAACTCATTCCTTAACTGTCATAAGGATGTACGATTTAAACTAAACCAGGCCAAACAAAATTGTTACATTTACTGTATTTTTAATGGTAATGACATTAGTCTAATGAAGAGCGCTACGCTAGAAGAAACACACAAGTCTAACAACCAATCACAGATGATGTTTAAGATAGCTAGTGGGGACAAAAACATCAAAGAATAAACAAGCCATAAATCTTCCGATCAGATTTTTTTTCTGATCATTTAAAATTTGATTTATGAGCGTGGTGTAACGTTATATTTACAGATTTCGTGATAAATAAGAAACTTCAAAAACATTAAACAAAAATCTTTCTTCATACATAATGTAGAATAAATATTAAAAACATTGTCTTCTAACTCGGACTGTACATATATATTCTAAGCTTAGGTCTTCGTATCATAAACAAGTACAATAAATAATGCCATCTATAGTTATGAATTAGATACATTCTTTTTAGAGTGCAGAACCGACTTGTTTGGTAATAAGTACTATGTAATAAATATCACACAATATACTCATTAAAAACTTAGTTGCAAACTCAATACCTGGCTAAGTAAATTTTGTTCTCATGGTGAGAAAATATGTCCATCGTTTTTAAAGATAGAAAAATGTTTCTTTAATTAGATTTTTCAAACTATGTTCGTTTTTTATTATAATACTTATTACTTTCATTTTCCTACTTACTGAAGATTTCAACAGACAAATTAAATGTATGGAAACATTCAGCATATGGTACGTGGAAGTTAAGCCTGGTATTAATATCTCTTGAATGTACTTTCAAGGATTTTCAGAGAGTGGTTGGTTTATAGTTTGTTTTTAACAAAACGTTTTCTTTATTGGATTAGTTCTGGATGACATCTTGACACACTTGCGTTCAACTTTCTCTGGTCAAAGAGTTTTGATAGCTTGACATATAACTGCAGAGGACTGTTGTTTGAGAATACGAACTGAGTGAGCATGAAGGGCCCTGTCAAACGAAGTTCTATTAAGGCGGTTCACATGAATCCCTTTCGAAGTTTGCCATCCTTATGTAGAATTCGAATTGTACTTCAAAGTGTGTTTGTTTAGTAGCACAAACAGAAACTCTGAGAAAACATATTACGATGAATCGTTACCAGGATGGCATACGTTATATAGATATGGAGCTAACAAACCAGTGCGACCATATCTGACGTAGAGCGTTTCTTGGATTTGTAGATATAAATTGTCTTATTTCATTTCAAATAACGTTCTAACATACATTTTCAAGATATATAAGCTGTATCCCAGTTTACTCCTAAAGAAGTGGTTTGGTTATCTTATGGTTTTTTAACATCATACATACTATCTCCCACCTCAACGGTGGCTCGGTGGTACGTTTGAAGGCTGCTCAAATCGAATTTAAATAACCGTTGTAGGCAGAGCACAGCTAGCCCATTGTGTGTGTAACTTTATTATTAATAACTAACAAATAAAAGTATCAGACATATCTCAGTTGTAAATATTCTTTGAAAAAAGAATTAAGCGAATAAAAGTGTGAGTAATGAAATTTATTAATTATCGAAGGTATAAATGATGATAATTTGATCAGTTCTTTTTGAAGTCCAGAACATCTTTGAGCCATTTTACAGAGAATAAATTAATAGAAATGATTATAATTGTGAAATATAAGAGTAAAGAAGCTAAGTAGTCCTAATATTGTCGTGTTTAACTTGCACATCTTCCACATAAAGCTTTTATTTTACTTTACCTACTTTAAATTAATTATCATAACAGCAATAACTTCGTGTCATGTTCTAATTTAACAACTATTCAAAGATGGATATATTGTGTTTTAGCAGGTATGTTTGAATTGAACAAAGTTATGAGGCCTAAGTAGGAGATCAAACAAGTGATGCTCAAGATAAAGACCTTCTATAAAGATCCACACGCAACAGCGTTATCAGATTACTTTACTAATGACGTTTTTTCACGTTAATGTTATACTATCAGTGGAAGTAATTAGAATTTTCAGTAGATTATTTATTTAAAAATAACATCTTAACATTTTCGTTAGATTTAAATATCAAAGAACCGTCGGTCTTCTAATATAAAGTAAAAGTAATTAAACTTACATAATATTAATGTAGTTCTGACTAAATTAATTCGAATAGACAGACACATAAAGTGCGTTATTTGAGCAACATAAACACGTTTCTTTTACATTTATGCAAATACCTTTTTCGATGTAATGACTTTTACAGTGAAATATGTATAAAATAACCATCGAATAATAGATTGATAACATAAGTATTAAAAACCCATTTCTGAATTCATTATATGTATTTGTCTACGTATTTATTTGCTGCTGTTTTAGCGCAAAGCTACACCATGGGCTATATGCGATTTGTCCACCGCGGGGAATCGAACCCCCAATTTCTAGCCATTTAATTCCGGAAACTCACCGCTGATCCACCGGGAGACAAGCGATTTAGAGGAGTAGTTGATCTTTCATTACAACGAAATCACATTAGAATACTCAATTTTCTTCGTCAGTTGAAAACTAAAGATCTTCGTAAAGAATAAAGGCAGACAAGTAAGATAACCTTAACGAAGAGATATAGGTTATGCTCCTTTTAGTTTTTCGTTCTGGAAATGGAGATTAGATTTTAATTGTAAACATTACCGTGCAATTCATAATTTACTAAATGTGTTAACATACGTAAGATGACACAATTTAAGATGTGCTTTTTATCTAAAACTCGATTTTTAGGAGCCCTAGACATTTTGAGCACAAATAACACGTCTTGTGCTCTATTAAAATTTACCAAAAAATATTAACAATTGTGTGATGAAAAAAATCAATTAATATAACACTTTAATCAAACTTTGAAGTTTTGAGACTTATAATAATAATAATAATATATTTCAAAAATTGAAATATATTTTTATCCAAAAAGATTAGCTACCAGACGATGGAATGATGCTTTGTTTTATCAGATAATGTTAAGAGTATTTTTGTTCGCTTAAATTTGGGATTCTTAGAAATTTAACGGTGGATATATCAAACTAAATGTATCTAGTGACATAATTTTTGATCAAACTGATAAGGCTCTAATTTACTTTACTAAACAAAAACTCTAGAAAAGGCTAGGCCCTTCTCCGATGAGTGCACTAAGGGAGTATATATATGTTAGTGATAAATGGAAGTTGGCGTTTAAATATCAATTTCCTGAGGCTGGTTCTTTATATAATATCTACATAAAAAAGAAAAACAAAGCATTGAAAAGCGAACTTCCATAGAACTAGCTAATCTCTCTTAACCCTAATAGACGTGGGACAAGACTCTAGATATTGTTTAAATAAAACAAAACGTAATGCACCAGGAATATATAATACTTGTAGTTTTTATTTCGTGAAACTAAAGATAGGCAGAAATCAATCAGACTTGGATCTGCCACTAGTATGCACAACATACTTTATACTGATGTACATCTTTTATAAAAAAAAATACGGCTGGCCAGCAAAACTAATTCTTCATCATGAGAAACCTTAATATCTTGTGTAGCACGCTATAGCAGCATTCCAACATATTTTGTTTTCAGACTCTATGCCATGACGTAGATGACAGTTCTTTAAATGAAAGACTGTGTTTTATTCATGGGTCAGAACAAGGAAAATGTTTGAAATTAACGGTATAAGCCTTGAAGAAGTCCAGTTGTAATAGAACTATATATTTTTTTCTTTGAGCACACAGAAACTAAACTCCGGTAAACTGTTTTAGATTATAAAAAGAAATGTTTCCAACTACGCCATTTTTTAATCAAATCAACTTAAAGAGTTTTTAATTCTACAATTCAGAGGAAATCTTTAAGGTGTTTGTGTCATTGAAATTCGCTAACTTTTATGCACACATCCACGTCATATTGAAAGCCAAATAATGTATTTCTCACCAGTGTAAAGCTTATGAAGATAACAAACAAACACTATAAGTAAAAACAGAGTTATTATCAATGATGCAGAAGCTTTTTCTGGTTATGAGTTGATTACAACTGTTTGATGACTAGAGTTTTTTGGGTTTTTTTTTCATTAATGTACTTCCATCATCTGCAGAGCCGATAATTCAAAACTTCTAAGTTTGTATTACATTGCCACATTCCAATATATGATTTAAAATGCAAAATGCCACATTACTATCTATGGTGTGAAACTTAGAACACCACTCTGCTATGTTGTTACTCATTTCTTTAATACGACTGAACAGAGTTCTTGTAAAAAATCGAACGTAGCCTCATTCACAACAGCAAATGGTTTACTTGTAAACCACACTAGAACTTAAAGGCGGGAAAAATCCTACTTATGACATGGAAGAAATGAGCTTAGTTTATATTAACGTGATAGACTAACAAACGAAAGATGTGAGTAGCAGCATAAAGTGGGATTTCATAATAGGGTTGTC